CAGGAATGGAGGGAAAAGCAAAGAGCAGGATGTTTGGGGAGCAAATGCTCCCAACTTGGCGAGTGCCCAATGCCCCCCCTGCCACAGGGAATATTTCAGGGAATGAAAGGCACGGACAGCGCGGTGCATCCCGCGAGTGCCCATTCACAACCCCCTGTTTAGAGGTGGGGGAAATAAATAAATAAAGTCTGGATTTGGACCATCCTTGCAAATCCAGCCTGCTTTCTCTGGAGCCCCCAGGAATTGCAGCGCAATCCCGTTCCGGGGCAGCTTTGGGTACTTCCACATCGCAGCCTCCGTGGGCGGCTGCAGCTCCATCCGCTCAGGCTCTCCAGGATGCGCTACCCGCCGGGATCCACGGATAATTACCCAACTTGCTTTTTTTTCCCTCTTTTTTTTGGCACGTGTGTGCTGAGCGTGTGCGTGCACAGCCAGGAAGAGGGCGAAGCCCCGGCGCGGGCTCCCGGGAAGCGGGAGCCACCCGGATTGATGCCAGCGCCGCCGCATCCCTCCTGCCGCCGTCACGCGGCAGCGAAATATCCGCCACAATGATAAAAAGAGATGAAAGTGGCCCAAAAAAAGAAGCACACCGGTTACTCAAGCAAATGGAAGCCGCCGCGGTTGCGTTCAACAGGCTTTTACCATGAAAAAAAAGCAAGAAAAAAAAAAAAGGCCTGTTTTTATTTAAATAGCCTAGGGCAAATTTCTCACTAAACCAACTTTCCCACGCCAGCCCAGTGCTCTAACTCTGGTTTTTGGCAATTTTTTTCCTGAGCTGTCAAGGCAAAATATATATAAGAATGCTGGTCTCACTTAGTTTTTTTTCCAGCCCCTGGAGACATGAAAATAATTTACAGATGTGCATTACCTGTTTATATTTGTATTAAGTTTTGCTTAACGGACATAATTTTCTTAGCTTGCAGTAACAAAAAAATATTCCCAGAGTTTTGCTCGTTTAATTTCAACTTATTAAAACTTTTCAAACATGTGGGGAGGTTTTATGTTTTTAACTCCCTAATCACATGGATGAGTGCCAAGGTCTCTCTGAGAGGCACTTTATGAACACTATTTTTAAAAAGTACCTAAAATCCCATTATTTTTAACCCCCAAAGACCACTCGAAATGGAAACTTTCCCTGGATTTATGTCATATTTACCATTTATTGAAAAAAGATTTATGCTGCCCCTGACTTTTGCTTCCCCCACTGTTTTTTTTCCCCACTTTAAGCTCGTTGTGGATCCTTGGGGATGCTGGAGGGGGAAGACGGCGGTGACGGGCAGCTCCAGCTCTCGGAAAGGGCTATAATGGATTAAAGGGAGGTGTTTCCGTGGCCGTGCCGGAGGTGTCATCCCCGTGCTGGGACACTCGTGCCCTCCAGCACCTGGGGAAACACGAGGGGGTTGTTGTCCCCCTCAGGATGCCCTGGCCATGCCCGGAGCATCCCGGGGGTCTCGGAGGCCGCGCGGGTGCTGGGAATGCGACGGGAATGAGCGGAGCCGAGCGGAGCCGAGCGGAGCCGAGCGGAGCACGCGGCGCGTTGGGTGCTCGGGGAACAAGCCCGGGCAAAGCTCCCGCGGAGCCTTCCCTGCACATGGAGCGGGGATGCTCCCAACCGTGTGCAGCAGGGAAAGGAGAGAGGTGGAGAGCAGGGATCTCTCGCCCCGGAATAGCCGGAGCGATGGAAACTCCAGGTTTGCTCCTGCGGAGGCTGCACAGCCCCAGGGCAGCAAAGCAGGGACCAAGCAGGATTGGGGCTGTCCGTGCACCCCGGGTGTTAAACCAAAGCGCTCCGGGGGTTTTGCAGCTGCTTCTCACCTGGGCAAACTCTGCAGGGGTGCCCGAGGCTGCTCCCCTGGTTGCAGGGGGGGTTGCAGGACAAGCATCGTGCCGGCCCCGCAGCCAAGGGCACCGGGAGCGCAGCCGCGACGCTCGGAGCGCGGAGGGGCGAGGAGCAGCGCCCCGGGCTGGCTCCTTTGATCTGCTGAGCAGACTCTGCCCTTCGGTTTGTTTAATTATTTCACACTTGCTCTGGAAATAATTTACAACAGGAAGCAGTGGGATAACAGCAGGCCTGGCATGGGACGGCGCGGGATGAGCCCCGGGGGAGCCGAGCGCCCTGTGATGAGAGACGCAGATGACGGGTGTCACATCCCCCCCGTTAACCCTTCCCGGGCCTGGGCTCTTCCCTCCCTTTTTCCCAGGCTTTCCCGGCACAGCTGGTCCCGCACCCCCTCCCCACATCCCGCAGCAGAGCCAGGAGCTCTAAAAGAGCCGTTTGAGGGCCCAGAAACATCCCTGGATGGAGCTGGCAGCGCCCTGGCTGCGGCGCCCGGCCCTGGATCCGTCGCCGGGATGAGTTTGCCACCCCGGTGCCCCCGGGAGCTGTGAGCGCCCCAAATCCTCCACACTCCCGGTTGTCATCCCGGGGGTTTTCCCATTGCCTGGTGCAGAGCAGGGCACCCCCACGAGGACCCCCCCGTCACGCAGCCCCCACAATATCTGCGTTCAGGGGCTGAACGGGCGCTCAGGCTGCTCATGCTGGGGCCTGGCTTCAATTTGCCCAGGGCCGTGGCGGGGGCAGGGGGGACCACGCGGGTGGCAAAGCAGGGGATACGACCCCTGCAAAGATGCTGCAGCGGGACCACGCGTGGGGTGCCAGGGCCACCGTGAGGCAGGGACCCTGCGAGGGGCCTTGGGGCCGCAGCGGCCACGTGCCGGGAGCCCTGAGGGTGCCGGGCCGGGCTGCGCCGCGGTGCTGATTTGTGTGCACGTTTGCGCTGCCTGCGAGTTCAGCAGTTCACGGCGCACAGACACCAGCATCCTGACCGAGCCGGGCACCGTGCGGCTCCGCGGGCCCCCGAAA